TGTTTTATAGTTGGTGGAAGGACTATGCAATTCAGCGAGGCTGATGTTGCCCTGATAACGGGTCTTGGCCTGTCGAGTAGTACAGTTTCCCTATTGGAAGGCGTTGTTGGTAGTGGATTGTTACAAAGATCTTTTGGCTTTGATTAAAATCATTCTGCCTTTATAGAGCTGGATCTTGTGTGGAGTAAACTAAAGAAGATTGTAAGATTAGATGGTGAGGAGTACGTTGAGGAGGTGGTAAAGCTGATTATTTTGTTCTTGCTCGGTTGTGTGTTGTTTCCCCAAGGCAGTTCGAGGGTGAGCTCCTTCTGGGTTGGATATGTTGACAATTTACAACATATCGGTGATTATGCATGGGGTAAATGTGTACATCAATTCTTGGTCGGTGGTCTTGATCAATTTGTTTCTAGTTGTGGTGCTGGATCGAATAGAGGCTCATCCTCATATAGCAGTTGTCTATTTGGATGCAGCGCAATGTTGATGGTTAGTGTGGATAACATTCAATTTTTTATTTATTCTTTATGTTATTCTCATTCAATTGATGATCATTTATTGGCTGATTTCTTTTTTGTAGGCATGGCTTTATGAGCACACAACATTATTCAGTCCTTCAGTTCTTGATGCCAGTCCTCGTTTGTTTAAGTGGGGGAATATGGGGTATCAATGGAAGTCGAAGAGGGTCGATTTGTTGAAGAAAGCTAGGGCGAAAACGATTCTCACTTCTGCTCCTCTACTTGGGGTGTTTGTAGTTTTTATTTATTTAGTTCTGGTGGAAATTGAAGATCTCATATGAATTTATAAACTTATTACAGGTTATTAGGGGTTTGAACCCTACTAGCGAGGAGATAGCCTTAGAGGATGTTCGATCGGAGGGCTGTTTACGTTTTAATTTTTTTCTTTACAATGGAGTCCTCTATGTGATCTAAGTACATGATAGTTATTAACCTTTGGTGTTGATATGCAGTTTATGGACCGAGGGGGCCATGGTGTGGGTGGGGAACCTTTTTATGATGGAGAGGATGCTGGTCACGGGTGGCGTCGGCCTGGGCAAAAGGTATGATTAGCGTATCATACATGTTTTGAGTTATATACAAGTTGACTTATTGCTAATGTTGAGATTTGTTAAATTGCTTCTAACTTGATTCTTCAAGAATTTTGCAAATCTTGCATGGAATCCATGGTATATCAAATTCTATGTACGGAGGCCAAAGAGTATAACTCAACAAGAAAGCAGAATGTGGAACTTCGTGATGAAGTTAATAGGCTTCGCAGAATGATGAGAAATAATGGGTTGGACCCTGATGCAGCACCATGTAGTGATGGGCATGAAGGTTTGGCAAACTACTTGCCAGACGATGATGATTATGGTGCAGACTTACTTGCTGAAGTTGCATGCTGCACCTCGGGGGTAGAGCAATCTCTCGAAAGGACTAGCGTTGCTGCCCCATCTTGCGAGATTCTTAATGGCTCGCCCTCCGTTTCCGAAACCTTAGGCAAGGAGAGAACGAAAGCAAAGTAGCATGGCGGTGTCACCCTTCCAAGCTCCTGGGCAACAAGGGCAAGTAGCGAAAGAGTTTGCTATTACTACAGGGTTCAAAAGAGAAGTGAAGGCGAAGGTGAATTGATAATTGTTGGTGTTGTCTTGGTGTTATTTGTAGGGTTATTTTGGTTTGATTTGACTTTTTTATTAGTTTATTCAATGAACATTTGTTACAGTCCGTGGATGCACGTGCATTGTGGAATTCTTTTAAGATGAAGGACTTGGTCCCAAAGGAGGACCTTGAAGTTGTGAAACGGTTCTTGAAGAACCACAAGAAAGGGCAAGTGCACATGACTGCTTAGTACATTGTGTCTATTTAAGTGATTTGTTTTAAACTATAATTTGTTTGTATTGTTATTTTTTTTATTATGTAACAAGGTTGATTAATGGTTATTGCAGTGATCAATTGGTATTGACTGATGGCGTTGTGTTTTTGACCCCGAATTGTCTGTTGCCCCTCTGCGACCTGAAAGCAAGGGTGTACGATCAAGCATTATTTTGGTTTAGGGGAGTGTTGCATGTCATACAAGGCTAATTGTCAGTGTGGCTAATTTGACATGTGTGGTTGTGTAGGTCATTGATGCGTATGGGTTTTTGCTGAATGTAAGAAACACCAACACCATGCACATATGTTATGTGTCTTCGATGACATCGGTATGGGGGTTGTTGATTGCAATGTGACTGAAATCCACATGCTTGTGATTCATTTTGTGATATAATCCCAATGCTATTCATTTATAATGTAGTTGTATTTATCGGATGCCCGCAATGATGTTCTCTATCAATGGTTGAAGCCCAATGAAATATTGATGTGCAATAAGGTTTTAATACCTTTATCTGATGGCTCACACTAGCAGCTACTAGTGGTGAATATGGTGGACTACAAAATCGAGGCCTATAGTTCCTTAAATAGCAGCCTGCACGATGCGTATGCAAGATCCATGGTATCTATCATGAGTTAATTTTTACATTACTAATTGGGTATAAGATAATGATCTGATTACTTATGTTTTTGCTCAATTTTATATTATCTGCCAGCAAACAACTTTGAGAGAAAAACTATCACCATTTGTTCCTGGGATCATCGGTTAGTCGTTTCAATTCATTGAGTCAGCCCCCCAATAGATTGGGTACATGTTGTATGATCTATGCTTAAGTGTAGGGGTACTTGTTAGGTAGTTATTGAGTCAATAAGTGTATCTATTTTTTTGCAGTGGTAGCGACTGTGGAGTGTTTGTTATGAAGTACATGGATTGCATTGCCCGGGGTTCACATTTTGGCTTTGATCCAGTGAGTACATGTGAATTTCGTTTGCTAGCACATGCCTATATGTTTCATGTTAATACTAACATGTAGTACGTTTGCTGTAGGGAAATATCAATGTTATTAAGTGGCAGTTAGGGGCTCAACTCATTCAGAACCATATCCCATAAATTGAAGATCTCACGAGGATGATTGGAAACCAATTTATTTTTCCTTTCTCTCACCTTACGACTCTGAGAATATATTAACAATTGAAATTTTTGTATCAGAGCTAACGATTGGTCAGCTCTAACTACATAAATTTATAGATGAAAGGCGTAAAGTAATGCAAAAAGCAATTTTTTTATAGATATTGCCTTGAAACCTTATGATCAAATATTTACTCAAAATGTAGCATCACAAAGAAATGTAAAGTAGCAATTAGGAGTGACCGGCCTTTGGGCGATTCGGCCAATTCCCAGAAATGGTCCCAGAGGGGGGGCGCGGTGGTAGTCGAGTGGTGGAACCACATGTACAGGGAGGGGAGAGGTCCCCTATAAGTACCCCGATGAGGCGGAGCTCGGGCCAATGGGCGATCAGAAGGTGTCGGGATGCTCGGTGGGTGAGTGGCAGTAGGGGGAGTGGGTTTGGTGGCCATCGCACCCCTCCGCACCCGCYGGATCAGCCTCCGGGCGATTCGGCCAATTCCTAGAAACGGTGCCGGAGGGAGGGCGCGGGGGTAGTGGAGCGGCAGAACCACATGTATAGGGAGGGGAGAGGTCCTCTATAAGTACCCAGATGAGGCAGAGATACCTCGGGCCAATGAGGAAGGCCGATGGTGGGAAATGGTGCTTTTGCAGAACCACCGTTTCCCACCGTTGGCCCGAGCTATCGGGCCAATGGGCGATCAGAAGGTGTTGGGATGCTTGGTGGGTGAGTGGCAGTAGGGGGGGGTGGGTTTGGTGGCCATCACACCCCTCCACACCCACTGGATCGGCCTTCGGGCGATTCGGAAAATTCCTAGAAATGATCTCGAAGGGGAGGCGGGGGTACTCGGGCAGCGGAACCACCTCCACGGGGTGAGGGGAGGTCCCCTATAAGTACCCAGATGAGGCAGAGATGTCCCGGGCCAACGGGGAAGGCCGACGGTGGGAAATAGTGCTTTTACAGAACCACCATTTCCCACCGTCGGCCCGGGCCATCAGACCGATGGGCAATTGGAAGGTGTCGGGATGCTTAGTGAGAGAGTGGCAGTAGGGGGGAGTGAGTTTGGTGGCCATTGCACCCCTCCGCACCTGTCGGATCGGCCTCCGAGCGATTTGGCCAATTCCCAGAAACAGTCCCTAAGGGAGGGCGCGGGGGTAGTCAAGCGGCGGAACCACATGCACAAGGAGGGGAGAAGGCCGACGGAGGCAGAGACGCGGCGGAACCACATGCACAAGATGAGGCAGAGACGCCCCGGGCCAACGGAGAAGGCCGACTGTGGGAAGCGGTGCTTTTTGCATAACCATTGTTTCCCACCGTCGGCCTTGGCCATTGGGTCAATGGGTGATCGGAAGGTGTCGGGATGCTCAGTGGGTGAGTGGTAGTAGGGGGAGTGGGTTTGGTGGCGATTGCACCCGCCGGTCGGCCTCTGGGCGATTCAGCCAATTCCCAGAAATGGTCCCGGAGGGGGGGCGCGGGGATAGTCTAGCGGCGGAACCACATGCACATGGAGGGGAGAGGTCCCCCGGAAGTACCGACAAGTATCAAAAGTACACAATTTCTCTCATTAAAATCTTAAAATTTGTAGATAGGGAGGATACATGTAGTAACATTAACATTTCCAGATAGGGAGAATACAACTACTAAAATTAAAATTTCTAGATAGGTACTAAACATAAATCAAAGGGAAGGTTGTGTGGGGGTGGGGTGCGATAGGGACGATACCCCTACTCAATGGGTGCTTTGCACGTGCTCCTATAATCTCCTGTGTTACCACACCATCCGCAATGAACCTCCCTTTTCTTAATAGGTTGGGACTCAATTCGTTTAGTCCAGAGTCGACCAAGTGGTTGTTTTGTCTTTGGTGGGCGTAGTGTAGTAGATGATGAAGAATCGATGTCTGCACTCGCGGTCGATGACATGGCTRTTGGATGCAACTCATCAGGCAACATAGGGTGTATTGGCTGAGAGTATATGACCCTATGTTTTTCAATCGTGTAGTACAGGTCAACAAATTCATACACATTCCACTCGTGTACGATATGGCCGCACATGCATGTGCACATGGGAGGCCACTCATTTGCCACTCCTTGCACTGGCACATCTGTTGGTCCAACTGGACGGTATACTGCCTTTCCCCCTTTTGTGACCTCAAACTCATGAACAGACGCACAAACAACCTGGAACTGGATGCTATTGTGAATTGTCACATGCAACTTCTCTTCGATCCTTTTCCCTACCGGTGTTGTGCAGTCCTGGGATTCACAATGTCTCCTCCAAAGGAGTTCCATCAATTTCAACCGAAATGTGTTCAGCATGGTCATTATAGGCTGATCACGAATGTCTAACACCCATCCATTGAATGTCTCTGCAATGTTAAACGACATTTGATCGTATCGCATTCTTGGGAACTTGGAGTTTGCCCAATGCTCAGGTTCAGTGGACCTTACCCAGCTGCCAACACGTTCATTCAATATAAAAAGCCTCCCCATTAGTGCCTCGGTAGATCTTGCATACATGAGTTTGAACATTATAGACTTTATTGCATCACGCAACTCCTTCGATAAACGAAGCTATGTCATGAATGATTTTAGATTCTCCATGAGGTATCGACAATAGAAGGCATGTAGATCGGGTCAAAAAATCCATTGGATCGCATCCACCAAGCTATTGCCCCTATCCGAAACAATCACAACATCCTTATCATCATTTATTGCTGCTTTAAGATGTCCCATAAACCAAGTGCAATCCTCAAGGCACTCTGCGAGGACGATGGAAAATGCGACGGGGAACATTCCATTGTTGGCATCATTGCGGTGGCAGCTAGAAGCTTCTCTTGATATTTCCCATTTAAGTGCGCCCTGTCTACAAATAGTAGTGGCCGACACCCGTAGCGAAATCCATGGATAGATGCATGGATTGCTAAGAAGAGTCGCTTGAAATGACCATCTTCATTGATACTATAAGTGACATACGAACCTAGATTGGACTCGAGAATCTTCTCACAGAACCATGGAATATGTGAGTATGAGTCATCATTGCTGCCGTTGATTAGAACCTTTGCGACATCTTTCCCCCTCCAAGCCTATTGATACGTTAACTGCAATGCATAGTCATGTTTGATGACCTTCAYGATGTCTGTTGCCCTGTATGATGGACTGTCTCGTATCTTCTCAACAAGAAGATTTCCTACAAACTTATTCGACCTAGGAAGAATTACAGAGGCCCACCTCCCAGTGCACTAGCTCGAATTTCCCACCGGCAGTTGTCTATATTGCATTGTGCATGAATGTGTGTCTTGTCGTTCCGTTTATATGTATATGAAAATCTATGGGCTATAGAGTATTTAGACAAGGCAATTGGAAATGCATCCGCGTCGTCGAACACTTGCCCAACTCCGGTTTTAAGACCAAGCCACATTGTTGCTGCCATGCTACCGCTGTCAGACATACCATTTGAGCCAACACGCGTATGCATTCTTTGGTCGTTATCGTTGGCGTCGAGTTCTCCATAATCATTCCAACAGTCCACGTCCCTCGTTGGTTCATTCAACAAGACTGTAATGTCCGAAGTTTTGGTGTTGAACCGGATAAGTGTCTGAATGTCATTTTGGTTTTGAAGTTTGAGGGTGTGTTTCTCCTCGCACTGGATCGTGTAATGTATCTTCGTGTCACATTGGTTGATCCCAAAACTACTACAAATGTCCAACACGAATGAATCAAATTCTGTGGTCTCGTCTGTAGTGATGCCAACTGATTCACTGTTGAAGCTGCAAATGCATAAGATTGAATTATTTGCCCCAGAGTCCATATGTGTTTGTGAACAGAAGACACACCTACAAAAAAAGATATAGATCATCAATCATAACTACTAGTGCAAATAGAAAATGGGGGGAGAAAATGTCTATAAGAAGAACGAACAGAATACTGTGTATTAGCCGAATGATAGGTGGACCGCCAACAACCTTGGTGGTGGGGGTTGGTGCTTATGAGATAACTGCTTCCGATGGGGGTGGGGTTTAAATAGGAGGATTAGGGGGCATTTCGAGCATTGTAGCATGATGCATGTCAATCGGTCAGTGGGTGACTTGTCGACAGACATCACCATAGGTTAGAGTATAGGCCAGACTTGTTTAGTGATTTACCCATGACTTGGCTGCCCATCCGGATCTCCTGCACACAGAAACTCTACCCACGTTAATCTATAACACACCACCTCCGTGCAATCGTACATTGGGAATATCTCCCCGTGTATAGTAAACGTGGACAAAGTTCTTGTGGRCAGGAGAAACTGAGTCCCTTCAAATGAGACCGGATATGCTCCTCACACCTAACGCCTCACAGGCGCCTCACACGCAATCCTAGCATACATTGGTAAGATCTCCCGTACTTGTTAATTATTATTCACGGGAGATGTTATCAATGCACGGTGGATGTGAGTCAGAATCTGTAAACTCGGATATGGATAAAGATCAGAACATGTAAATCCGGTCCATCAAAATCAGGTGAGTGAGCTAGAATAAGCAATTCTGTCAATTCAAAACTTAATGTAAGCCCGGAAATTCTGATAAAAACCACAATATAGACGGGTGCTCCGAATATCTCTTCTTCTATAAATAAAATCAATGACCAAAAAGAACAGAGAGAGAAGCAACCATGGGCGGTGGTGATAGAGAATCGTTTACTATTACTACTACTTCAGGTACCCGACTCTCTCTCTCTCTCTCCTGCCTCTGTTTCTCTTTGATTTGTATGAAAGCAAAACTAAGTGGTTTCTCACTTCTCAGCTAATCATCTCATCTCTGTATATTTGCAGAGGATTCGTCTTCTTCATCAGACGAGAGCAGCCAAACACAGAGGTATTTCTTTCTTTATTTGTCTATATAGGATTCATTTGCTTCGTGGGAATGGGGTCTGGAATTGGAATGGAATCCAATCGTTTTGCTTGGGTGGAATGAAATCCAATTCCTATTCTTGATGGAATGATCATTCCTCATTTGACCATTCCATCCCCCTTTGAGAATGAGAATTATATTTCAATTGATTCTGATTTCGAGTATGATTCCCATTATTTTTTTTCAAAAACATAAGAACTATCATTATTACCCACCCAGAATAGTTTGTACAGGATGGCGATATGCTTCCAGAATATTGGACAACTATATTATATTTACAAGCATTATATGCTAATTCATGAGCTAGCAGATTACTGTCTCTATTTATATGCTTTATACATATATTATCAAAAGACAACAAAAGATCCACCCCATAATCCTTCAGATGAGTCACGTTCCATACTTTGCCATCCTCCTTGCTTACTAAACTGTTAACAACCAAAAGAGTGTCAGAAAATAGGGTTGCCAGTGCGTTCTTCCACTCCAGAGTCCATGGATTGTAGCCCACCATTCTGCTTGGTAACTTGATGAAGCCCTGATCGTTCTACTTTCTGTCCATAGAATAGATTGATCGGAGGATGAAGTAACAACACCTGTACCTGCTTTTCCTGATGCTGGGTCAAAGGATCCATTCACATATATATATATATATATATATATATATATATA